GCAGTGGTTGAGAGTCCGCCTGCCGATGCAGGGGATGCGAGTTCGTGTCCCAGTCCGAAAAGATCCCACATGCTGAGGAGCGGCTGGGCCCGTGAGCCATGGCCGCTGAGCCTGCGCGTCCGGAGCCTGTGCTCCGCAACGGGAGAGGCCAGAACAGTGAGAGGCCCGTGTACCGCAAAAAAAAAAAAAAAAAAAAAAAAACACCTTTCTGTTTATAGCACATCCAACATTATCAAAGCCTTTATGTTTTAATTTTACACATTTATTATTACCTTAAAGCCGGAGTTGAAACGTTGAGTCCTTAAAGCACCATATTATAGCCGTTAAGAATACCTAGGTTGGGGGACTTCCCTGGTGGCACAGTGGTTAAGGATCCACAGTGGTTAAAAAAAAAAGTAAGATTCATAAGGGAAGGCATTTTGTATCTCTTTTCTACTACTGTATTCCTAATGCCTAGAAAAGTGCCTGTCACATGGTAGACATTCAATCAATATTTATTGAATGAATGTATGTTACGCTTTTTAAGACATGCCTAGAGAAAAATTGATACTCAGAATAACAGGAAACTTTTTTTTTTTTTCAGGCAAGGCTTTATTGGGGCCCCTGCAGCAGCAGGGGGGAGAGATAACAGACAACAGGTTCCCTTGCTTGTGCGTTCCCTGAGGTGGGTGTCAAGCTTGTTCCTTAGATGGGGTGAGGGTAGAGGTGTGTCCAGGGGTCGGGCCACAGGGGTGGCTTAGGTGTTTTGTCCACCCTCTGGTGGTGTTGAGTTCAGGGGCTGTGCTCAGTACCCTGCTTTTGCTCTGGGCTCTTCAAAAGTGGCAGCTGGGTTTTCTGGTCTTTTTGTATCTTCTGCCCAGAATTTGCCCCAACTGGCCATGCACGCACTTATTTTTAGTCCCTTATAATTTCTTTGTATTTTGTTGTTCAAGGAGAGGTGCACTCAGCAGAGGGTCCCAGGTCCCAGCCTGTCTCATTCCCCCCGAGAGACTCTACACCCTTATTCTTAAGGGGTAAGGGGCTGAAGGTCTCTTCCCCTGAAGCTTCTTTCCTCTGGACAGGGGCCACAGACCCCAGCCTACCCTAGAGGCGTAGAAGTCCCTCGCTGACTGTTCTAAGGACCTGTAGGGACCTGGGCCACTTTCCGCTGGAATAGGCTGAATTTCTTGAGCCATCATGAGCCTTACTTCAAACTGTTGGGGCCTACATTCTTACCAGTAAAATTCTTTATAGAATTTGAAAACTTCAGCTATTAAGTACTAAATAGTACTTTAAGATTTGCTGTGTTGGGACTTCCCTGGTGGTGCAGTGGTTAAGGATCCGCCTGTCAACGGGGATATGGGTTCAAGCCCTGGTCCAGGAAGATCCCACATGCCGCGGAGCAACTAAGCCCGTGAGCCACAAATACTGAGGCTGCGTGCCACAACTACTGAAGCCCACGCGCCTAGAGCCCATGCTCTGCAACATGAGAAGCCCGCACACCACAACGAAGAGTAGCCCCTGCTTGCTGCAACTAGAGAAAGCCCGTGAGCAGCAACGAAGACGTAACACAGCCAAAAACAAATACATAAATTTAATTTTTTTAATGGTTTAAGATTTGCTGTGTTGATTCACAAAAACCAGATACCTCCATTTCTGTCTTTGCCCTCTTTCTCTATAGGAGGTCAGACCAAGTCCCTTTAGCCGGAAACTAATTATGATAATGATCATGATCATATCAACCACACTTAAAATTTATTGCATGTTTAATGGATGTCAAGAACTTTTCTACGTGCATTATATGAATTATTTCATTTAATCTTCACGGCTATTCTATTAGGTAGATACTATTATGATCCTATAGAGGATGAACCTGCAGCACAGAGAGGACTGTTAACTCACCCAAGACTGGTAAGTGAGTTAGCTAGTTAGTAAATTAGGGACCCAGGACCTGAAAGCAGGCACTCTGACTCTATACTATTCCCTCTTCTCCCTAGAAGCCCTCCCCAGGGGAGCAGACACCAGCCAGAGTTCATTTTCTTTGTAGTGGTTCCTGGATCCACAGAAGGTCCCCCTCCCCTTTCTTCTACTAAAGAATTAAAGCCCAGAGCTTCCATGCATATCAACTTTTACAAATAAGTGCATAGCCAGCTGTACGAAGGCAGTGCTGTGGGTCCTCCCATTTAATGACTGAGGTTATCACAGCACATTCAGTTATTCTCCCTCACAGCAAGATTATTTCAAGTGGAAAAGGATGATATATTACCTTGTTTTAGAGAAGGTTAGCGCCTTCTTTTTGGGAGGGAAGAGAAAAGCAAGGGTTTTATCATGCAGATATGCCTCTTCTTCCTCAGGGAGATTAGAGAGGGCCCACATGACAGATTAGTCATTGGGGTGGGCCAGAAAATTGTAGACTGGTTGATTAAGATTACATTTCTGGGGAAGGTCAAAACTGCAAGTCAGGTATTAAGCCTAGATTTGGCATCATGGGCTTTAGCACAAGTGGCATCATTTGGGGCCTGTGATTTTCTTTTTAACAGGTAAGTATGGTCAAATGTTAAGATTTGACAAGATTGAGTGGCAGGTATTTATTATATTATTTTCTATATTTCATAAGTTTGAAATATTTCACAAAATCTTTTTAAAAATAAAAATATTCAGAGTACAATTGGACCTTAATTCTAAATAACAGATTTGACCAGCACTGCCTTTCCAAATTAACCAATTCTTTGACCAAACAGACTGAATTGGCTACTTTTTTTCTAAATAACAGATTTGACCAGCACTGCCTTTCCAAATTAACCAATTCTTTGACCAAACAGACTGAATTGGCTACTTTTTTTTGTCAGCCCTGGTGATACATTTACTCTTCCCAGTAAAGGTCACTATGGAATGAAATCTTTGGTTAAACAATAGAATACATAGTATAATTCCCCTCATTCAATTAAAAAAAAGAAATCTATGAAATTCTTTCTTACTAGCTCACTTGTAAGCCCAATATGCAAAAAAGCCAAGCACAAGATGGGATGAGGGCCAGAGATCTAAGAAGCTGGTTTGAAAGCTACTGTACAAATACAAGTAACATGCATGAATGTGGCTTAGTGTGTTTGCTCTTTTGGCGTCAGGAATTTCTTCTGATTTCAAATCTAAGATTCTTCTCTCTGCTCTACACAGAGCACCAGTGTAGTACTTGCTGGGACTAAATCCATAAGAACCAGGAAGCCGAGGAGCCCCGTGCTGCTCAGTCAGAGGACGGTGTCTCCTCCAGAGCCTGTCTTCATGGCCTCTCTTGAGTAGGAGAGACTGGACTTCTTTCAATGACAGCTGTGCTTTAAAAGGGCAAAATCATGGGAATTCCCTGGCGCTTACACTGTTGTGGACCTGGGTTCAATCCCTGGTCGGGGAACTAAGATCCCGCAAGCTGTACGACCAAAAAAATAAATAAATAAAAATAAAAGAGCAAAAGCAAACGCTTTTAGGTCTCTGAAGGCCCAAGCCCAGACTAGCACAGTGTTACTTCTTCCATGCCCGTTCGGTCAAAGCAAGCCACAAGGCCATCCCAGATTCAGTAGTGGACAAGTAGACTTCACCTCTTGATTGGAGAAGGAAAATGCATGTACAGGGATGAGAGGAACTCACAGTTGAAGGCTATCTTTATGAACTATGTACCAGAGTGTTTGACTGCACGTGAATAAATGAGACACTGGGGTCAAAGGGTTAGTCCAGGCTGGTGGTTGCCCAAACAGGGTTGTATCTAATAGCCAAAATGACTCAATGTAATGATCTCAGAGAGGCAGCAGTAAGTGGTGGCATGGA